ATCAGCAGCATCAGCATCAGCATCATCATCACCATCACCATCATCTTCATCAGCAGAATCATCATAATCATCATCATGAGCGTCATCAACATCATCAGCATCATCATGTTAATCGGTATCATCATCAGCAGCATCAACATCATCATCAGCATCAGCATCATCATCATCAGCAGCATCATCAGCAGCAGCATCATCAGCATCAGCATCAGCATCGGCATCATCATTAACATCATCACGATCCTCCTCATCACAGCAACAGTGTCATCATCATCATAATCATTAGCATCGTCAACATTAGCATCATCATCGTCCTCACTATCATGAGCAGCCGCATCATCATTAGAATGTTCCTCTTCCTCCTCCTCATCCTCCTCCTCATCCTCCCGTTCGTCCTCGCCGCTGCTCCCCCCTTCTCCTTCCAGCCCGGGAGAAAGGGGTGGCGGCGGTCCGCCTCATGGAGTCCACGGCCGCCAGGCGGTCCGGAGCGGGAGCAGCCTCCCGCGCGGGCGGGGGACAGGCCCGAGCCTCCGGGCCCCCTGCCCGTCCTCGGAGAGCAGGGGCAAGAGGCGAGGAGTGAGGAGGGAGGAGGAGGAGGAGGAGGAGGAGCAGGAGGAAGAGGAGGACAAGGAGGAGGGAGGACGAGGAGGAGAAGGACGAGGACGGAGGAAGAGGAGGACGAGGAGGAGGAGGAAGGAGGACGACGACGACGAGGACGAAAGGGAGGACGATGAGGACGAACAAGAACAACCGTCGATACTCCTCGAACGTCCACTGGAAACCGAAGGGGTCCCTGGGGTCCGAGAGAATGCTCAGGATGTGACCGTCGTCGCCGTGCCCTCGCTATCGCTGCATGAGAGGAAGAGCATAGGAGGGGTTCGTTTGTCTCATGGTTTGAGCATAAACGCCCACAGCATGCATGATGCGCTGTACTTGTACATCTCAAGTGTACACATGCACTTCTCATCACACATGCCTGCATTTCTCAGCTGTGACATGCATGCTCGGGCCTGCGCGTCGAGTCGCAGCAAGGCTCGCTACATTACTGCAGAAAGATTCAGCAGGTAGAATATCGGCTGCCCTTCCACGACATACCCACGAACCTCTCAAAGGCTTCGTTATCACCCACAACCCAGGCACGGTGGCGGAATGGGACGACAACCATAAGACAATGCCCACAGAGCCTCAGCTCAGCTCCCCCCTCTCGGAAGAAATATAATATATATAATTCCATATAGATACAAGTGTACACACCTATATACATATATATACATATATATGGCTATATAATTATCCCAGTGCGACCCTATCTAGGAGTTGGAGCATTTAGGAAAGCAACATCTACATATACACCGACAGCTACATGTACATCTACACCTGCATATATGATATGCTATGCGATGCTGTGCTATGCTATGCTATGCTATGGTATGCTATGCTATGCTATGCTATGCTGAGCTATGCTATGCTATGGTATGCTATGCTTGGCTATGCTATGCTATGCTATGCTATGATGTGCTAATGTTGCGCTGCGCTATGCTGCGCTGCGCTAAGCTAAGCTAAGGTACGCTAAGCTGAGCTAAGCTAAGCTACGATGAGGTAAGCTAAGCTAAGATGATATAAGCTAAGCTAAGCTAAGCTAAGCTAAGCTAAGCTAAGCTAAGCTCAACTAAGTTCAGCTAAGATAAGTTAAGCTAAGCTAAGATGAGATAAGTTAAGCTAAGCTAAGATAAGCTAGCCTAGGCTACGCTCAGCTATGTTAAGCTAAGCTAAGCTTAGCTGAGCTAAGCTAAGGTAAGCTAAGCTAAGCTAAGCTAGGGGAACCCGGGGGGTGCAACTGGGGGAACCGCGGGGCGGGGACTGGGGGAACCACCCAGGGCGTTTTACACTGCCTGGCCCCTTTTAAGCAAACAAAGCAAGAACCCTCTAGGCAGAGCCTAGGTAGGGAAAAAAGGGGCGGGGAAAGAAAGAAGGGCGAGAAAGAAAGATCCCGCTGCCGCCTGCACATTCCTTATCGCACAAACATCCAGCCCCCCGAATCGGCAACAGTGGCCAGAGGCCATTACAATAACTCCTCTCTGTCGCACGCCGAGGCCAGTCTGAAGTACGGGCTGGGTGTTTCGCCTAAGACTTCTATACCATTTGCGAATCTAAAAATTAAGAGCTGGCAACACTTGCATAAATCGAAAGCGGATTGTTTTCAAAACGTGGCCCTCGCCTGAGCGCACCGCACCCGTGCCTTAAACATGTGATAGAACTTCGCGGATTGAAGGCGGGTGGAATTCAAAATGTGGTTCCCGCCTTAACGCCAAGCAAGTTCATCTGTACCAGTTGTAAGAGCTTCACGGACTGAGGGCAGGTGGTTTTCAAAATGTGGCTCTCGCTGTAGCGCCGCGCACTTTCCTTTAAAAACCTTGCAAGAGCTTCACGGATTGAGGGCGGGTGGTGTTCCAAATGTGGCGCTCGCCTTGGCGCCGCGCGCATTCGTTTTAAAATTTGCGAGCTCCACGGATTGAGGGCGGCTCTTTTTCAAAAAGTGGCTCTCGCTTTAGCGCCGCGCACATTCGTCTATAAAACTGCAGGATGTTCAAAGTATCCATGGGTGACTCACCAGAATTGACATTGAGGAAAGATTCATAACTGTCAGGGCGCAACAGTTACGTTGACTCGCGTAGGTGAAGTCCCAGGAGCGACGTTCTGGCACGATTCAGGATCGTCAAGACGCAACAGTAACGGTTATTCCCTACCTAGGCTCTGCCTAGAGGGTTCTTACTCTCTTAGCTTAAAGGGGCCGGGCAGTGGAACGCGCCCCGGGCGGTTCCACCAGTCACCGCCCCGCGGTTCCCCCAGTCGCGCCCCCTTAGCTTGGCTTAGCTTATCTCGTCTTAGCTTAGCTTGGCTTAGCTTAGCTTGGCTTAGCTTAGCTTAGCTTAGCTTGGCTTACCTTAGCTTAGCTTAGCTTAGCTTAGCCTAGCTTAGCTTAGCCTAATATAGCTTAGCTTAGCGTAGCATAGCATAGCATGGCATAGCATAGCACAGCATAGCATAACATAGCACAGTATTGCATAGCATAATTATTATTGTTGTTGGAAGCTTCCTCCTTAGCTTAGCTTAGCATAGCATATCATAACATTGCATAGCGCAGCATCGCATAGCATAGCATAGCATAGCATAGCATAGCATAGCATAGCATAGCATAGCATAGAAAGGCATAGCATGGCATAGCATAGCATAGCAACTAATGCTGCTTTCCTAGGGACTCCAACTTCTAGGTAGGGTCGCACTGGGGTAATTCGTTGTCCTCCAAAGGAACACTTCCCGCAGTGAAGATGAATCCTTGTATGGGGCCTATGAAGAGGGGAGGCCTGTAGGGAGGGTTTATCACAACATCGTTGGTGAGCTGTGGGTTTACACTAGTCCTCCTCCTCCTCCTCCTCCTTCTCCCCCTCCTCCTCCTCAAACCCCGATTCCTCCTCTCCCTCCCCATCCCCCCCCTTCCCTCCCCATTCCACTCCCCCACCCCAACCTTCACCTCCACACATCCATCCCCCCCGCCGTCCCACCCTCTTCCCTTGCCCCCCGCCCCTCACCCATCCATCCATCCATCCTCCCATCTCCTCCGCCCTCCCTCCTCCGCCCGCGCCGCTCTGCTGACGAGCCTGTGCACCGCCGGCTCGCCTGCCGCCCCCGCCGCGCCCCAACCCTGCAGGCCCAGGCACGACGACGAGACGGGGGCTGGAGGCCAACGGCGACGGCCGACGCGCCAGCGGAGGCGGCGGCGGAGGAGCTGGCCCAGCGTCTTGCCTTGGCACAAGGAAGACGTTCCCAGACATGCGACGTCCTGGTTTGTTCAATTCGCGGACCGCAGAGGTCCCGATCCTTTCCCTGGGGCCGGCTTTTCGGGCTGATTCGTTGTGTGACGGTCCTGGGGCCAAGTGAGGGCCCCAGGAGGCCGAAAACGGCCAACAAAAATCTCGTCCTGATTTTTTCCAACCCTGGCACGACTGGGTTTGCAGGCGGTTTCGCTCCACCGTCTCCGGACCTGGCCAAGGCAATCCTGGGTACGGGCGTGGCGCACGTGTGCGGCCCTCCCGGTCGATGTTGGCAGGGTCTGTATCCCGCCCTGGGGCCCAGGCTGGCCCCGGCTGGGCACGGAGGTGGCGCCAGCCTCCCTGAGGAGGAGGGGCCTCCCGACTGAAACGGAGGCCCGAAGACTGCAGGGCCCTCTCAAGAGACGGGTCAAGAGAGCTCCAAGAGCACCACCGAAAGGGCTTCGAGACGTGAAGACCGACAATTCCCCCAATGGACTTTTGGGGGGATACCAGCGCTCTCTCGTCCCTTCGAGCTGTCGACGACCCTGGACGCCAGCTCTCCCTCGACAGGACTTCACGGGCGGGTCGCCGCGAGGCCCCGAGGACGGCGAGGGCCCCCTCGGGGCCAGTCCTCTTCCTGCCTGGCCGTCGCGCGAGGCTTGGCAGGCGGGGCGCGGCGCGGCCCCCGCGCCGCGCGCGGCTCCTCCTCCTCCTCCTCCTCCACCTCCTCCTCCTCCTCATCCTCATCCTCCTCCTCCTCCTCCTTCACCTCCTCCTCCTCCTCCTCCTCGTCTTCCTCCTCTTCCTCCCTCTTCCTCCTCCCTCCTCCTCCTCCTCCTCATCCTCATCCTCCTCCTCCTCCTCCTCCTCCTCCTCCCTCCTACCTCTTCCCCCTCGTCCTCCTCCGCCTCCCCCTCCTCCTCCTCCTCCTCCTCCTCGTCCTCCTCCTCCTCCACCTCCACCTCCTCCTCCTCCTCCTCCTCCACCTCCTCCTCCTCCTACTCCTCCTCCTCCTCCCCTCCTCCGTCTCCTTCTCCGCCTCCTTCTCCTCCTCCTCCCTCATCATCATCCTCCTCCTCCTCCTCCTCCTCCTCCTCCTCCTCCTCCTCCACCTCCTCCTCGTCCTCGTGGCCGGCTACCCGCCTGCTCATGTGACGGGCGCTCCGCATGGCTCAGCTGCACCGCCGCCATCCGCTCGGCAGCCGCGAGGAAGACGCTGCGAGCCACGCCAGGAGCGAGCAGCAGGTGACCACGGCGCCCACAGCGGGTCCACGTCGAGATGACGTCAGCGTTCCCTGCTGACGCCGCTTCGATCTTTCAAGCTTGAACATTGGCGCCAGTAGCAGCAGCAGCAACGACGACCACTATGACCACAACAACAAGAACAGCGATCGCCACGAGCACGACAGCGACGACACATGCAGTGTTGCCACTGGCGGCGACGGCGGCAGCACTGATTGCAAATCGGTCAACTCCAAAGCATGCGCGAGCAAAAACTGGCCAGCTGGCTCCATGGATCCCGACTCGCGCCCAGGACCGTCTAATGCCGCTGACATCCTCTGCCGCTGGTCCGACCTGCAGGTCCGAGACACCCGACCCTCTATATTCTCCACCCGTACTCGGGCGGGCCCCAAAACTCCCGTGCACTAGCCCTGATGTCTTTCGCCTGTGAACCAGTCTCTCAAGAGGATCCCCAATTAAGAGAACCCCCGACCCCTTGCATGTGGCGCCAAAGGCCAACCTGTCACGGTGCCTGCGATGTCAAAGCTGACTTCGTCAAGCGCGTAGATGAGGTGGGAACCGCGGGCAAGAGATGTCGGTATCAATAGTGCTGCGACTGAACGGGGTAATTCTACAAGACACCAATTCGGGGCCCGTCCGTCGTCCGAAGCAGGGGTCCGACTCCGCCTCACTGGACCCAAACCCGGTTGGCTTCCACTTCGGCTGCCGAACGCGCTGAAACGCTGAAAGACTTCGAACGCCTTCAAGCAAACAAAGGCCCGAGGCCCCCAAACAACGATCTGATTCGTGGCACGGGCCCCCAGAGCGGAAGCCCCATCCCGGGGGCTGAGAAAACGCGCCTGCAACACTCAATTGAGCGCAGAAGTGCTAGGAGGAGGAGAAGGAGGAGGAGGCGGAGGAGGAGGGGGAGGGCGAGGGCGAGGAGGAGGAGGAGGAGAAGGAGGAGGAGGAGGACCAGTGCAAACCTAAGACTCACCATCGATGGAGGAATAAACCCTCCCCCCAAGCCCCCTCTTCGCAGGCTCCTACAAGACTTCTTTTCCACTGAGGGAACTGCCTCGCTGGGAAACAACCGTTTGAAAGACTGAAGCGTGCCAGAACACCAAGTTTGGGGGTTCCAACGCCACGAGTCAACCAGAGTGTTGTGTCTTGACGGGCCTGAACCGCGCCAGAACACGATTCCTGGGAATTCAACACCGAGAATCCAGGTAACACTTGCGCCCCCACAATCATGAGCCCTTCGGAACACACAAATTATGGTACGCTGACCATGGGAACTGTGAAACAATGGCAAATGTTTAACACGAATGCGCGCCGCGCTGGTGAGAGAGACACATGTTGAAAAGGAACCGCCCTCAACCCGTGAAACTATTGCAAATAATAACACAAATGTGCGCGGAAATATGGCGAGAGCTACATGTTGAAAACGGCCCGCCCTCAATTTGTTTAGAAACGAATGTGCGCGGCGCTCATGCGAGAGCCGCATTTTGAAAACGGCCCGCCCTCGATCCGTCAAACTCTTGCAGATTGTTCAAACGAATGCGCGCGGCGCTGAGGCGAAAATCACATCTTGAAAACCACCCGCCCTCGATCCGCGAAACTGTTGCACATGTCTGAAACGAGTGCGCGCGGTGCTAAAGCGAGAGCAACATTTGGAAACCAACCGCCCTCATTCCGTGAAACTGCTGTCGGCTCCTAAGCTTCGGGGTCACAAATGGTGAGGAAGCCCCAGGCGGAACGCCCAGCCTGCCTTTTCAACCAGCCTCGGGGTGCGGCAGAGAACAGCTATGTGTGAGATCGCCTGGGTCGCCTGGTACGGATGAGTCGGTGATCGCGCTTGGTGTTCTGCGTTCTGAGTTCATCAGTTTGAAGAAGATCTTCCAGAGCACGTTGAAGGATTCTCTCAAAGCACACACGCTTCATGTTGACTCTAAGCTGGCCCCTGCCGGTGCTCAGTTGAATTAAAGTTCTCAGTGACGGTCAGGAGGAGCAAAAGGAGATAAATCGTAAATTGTTCGTTGCAGTTGAGGAACGGAGGAGTGGCACTCCCAAGGGACCTCCAGTGGAAAATGATGTTCGAAGTGAGGCCTCGAACTCCACGCGTTTCAGTTTTTGCCGTGCTGTTGGAGAGGATGCGAGGAGCGGAAGGCTCCAGGAGTTTGTGCCATCATACCTTACCTTGCAGGGTTGGACCTCTGGTGATCCCAGGGAAGCGGCTGCCCGCGCGAAAAACATCATGTCCGGAGAGCGCGGCACGAATGTTATCACTGTGTTGTTGGAGAAGTTATTCCTGACATGCGTGCACATGTTGATGAGATCAGTACATTAAGTGAGAACTTTCGGAAGCCATTTGGCTTGCTTCGTATCATGATGAATATTGTGCAGGGTACCTCGACGACTCGTGCGCGGCAGATTGCTCGTGCTATCAAAAAAATGTGCGAAGAGATCTGTGCCTGAGATGTTTGACGACACGACCTTGGGCCCTGCCAAGGATGCACATGGCCAACCTAGTTATATCTCGGTGAAGGCCCCGACAGCACCTTGTAAAGAGGCACAGGTGAAAGCAAGCTCCAAACTCGTTGCGACTTATTTCAAGCGTAACGATCCGCTCAAAACTGATGCTCTGGTCAGGGTCAAATATGGTCCACCTCATATGAGTTGGGCGTGGACTTTCCCGAATCGTAACCGTGGGGATATGACGTCTATCATTGGAACCTGGGACCCGACAAACGGTCGGAAACTGATCACTGCCGAGCGTGAGAAGCTTGTTCCGACAATACATGTGGCGAATTGGCAGACAGTGCTAAACCAGCGCTAAACCAAGTGTGCATCCGAGCTGGATGCTGGAATGTCAGACAGATGGGTGAGCGATCAACGTTCGAAACGCTTCCTAGTCTTCTTGAGTTGGGTTGTCTGGTTACAGGCCTCCAGGAGTGCCAGTGCATGCCAGCGGACCTGATTCATGATGTGAGGTATGAGTATAGGCTCTCCGAGGAGCACGTGTTGCGACGGGAGGGCAGGCGCGCTACTGCTGAAGGTAGAGCAGGGGTCTTCCTTGCAAAAGGTCTACGAACATGTCTCCTTGATCATGTTTCTGGGCGTCGATTTGTTGTGTGTGCACTTCGTGGTCCACAGCGCGGCTCGTTCTTGAATGCCAGTCTCTACCTCCCACGTGCTGCGTTCTTTGGGAAGACGGCGGGAGCTTGTGCACTTGCGTTTGAGCTGTATCGGGAACCGCTTTTGGGGTTGGCCACACAAATCTTACGCCTCCAGGGTAAGTACCCACCACAGTAAAGATGTTGGTGTGTGCGTGGATGCGAATGTTGAGGTCATGTCTAGGGAGCCGGCGGATTCTATTCGTGTTAGTGGTCCTGGGGTTCATGAGCAGGCCGCATCGAGATCCCCTGGGAGCTTTGAAAAGTTGCATATGGAGCGTGAGTGCTGCAGCCGTGCCCTATGTGTGTGTATGGCTAAACTGAAACTGGTGCTTGTAAACACGATGGGCCTCCGTACAACGAGTTGGCGCAGTCCCCAGGGGAATGTGGAGTTTGTGCTGGATTATGTCGCCATCCCTGCCTGCCGAGATCCTGTGGCCGCCGATGTGCAGACGTCTTGGTTTCATGGTGCTGATGTTCAGGATTCACAGCGTTGGAGGGATCATAAACTGTTGGTGTTTAGTATTCCAGGGGAACCCCCTCTCAAGGATAAGCAGCCGCGCGTGTCTAGCAGCCTGGCGAAGTGGCGACCTATCCCAGGTAAGGAAGTCCAGCAGAGGAGAGTTTGGGGGATGAGACTGGTTGAAGTAGACAAGTGGGCACAGGTGAACGCGAGGAGGTGGAGGAAGAGGAAGGTGGACATGGAGGTGGGGGAGGGCCGTTGTGTATACCGTACTAGGTGGAGGGCGATTCCTCTCGAGGACCTGGAGTCTCGTTCGAAGGAGGGTGCGACGGCTGACCCGAACTTGAACGAGTACGCGTCTGCTAAAGCCAGCCTGAAGATGACGGAGGAGGAGGGGGGGGGTTACGGACCACCACTATCGATTACACAAACGATGGAAGAGAGGAGAGGTCGACGATCACACGTTCGAAGAAAGTTGGAGGAGGTGGAAGAATATTCGGAGAGAGTTCCAGAACTCAGTGGGGGTGTCGGCTATTTTTCGCTTTCAGGAGATTGAGACAGACACCCTGCAGGGGACGAGCTCGATGAAAACAGGGTCTCTGGAAGGCCCACCACTGTTGGCGGCGGTATCGATACTGGTGTTTAGTGAACCGTGTCTTCGATGGCCACGCGAGCACATTGGTGTTAAGTTATCGGACGAAGCTGGAAACACTGTTGTGTCATACTTTGCATGGGCGGATAACGTGGTGCTCATGGCGGAAAGACATAGCCAATTACCAAATATGATTACAGATATGGCCCGATGCGTACACAGCTTTGGTTGCAGGTGGAAGCCCCAAAGCTTGGAATACTTGAATATGTGCGCGACCAATCCGACTGGCATGCATATCTGTATGCTGCCTCCTGGGTTGGGGCCCCTAAGAGAGCCCCGTAAAACTGCCTATGTTGGCAACGTCCTGGTGAACACTGAGGCGCCCAAGCCGTTCAATTGGGAAGTCCTGAATCAGGCCAGCGTCCCCCTCCATCATGTTGACTCCGTGGTCCTCTTGGGATGTGAGATATGCCGTACATTCGAGGGGCACTTTGATGTGGGGCGTCGCATGCAGAAAGTCGTCAACGTTTTTTTGGTCAAATCGTAAGTACGATCAGAGCAAACGCACCCATTGGAACAAGACATTTCGACGGTACGAGGCGAGGGTCCGCGCCAAGTTCCTGCGTGCCCTTGGGGGGCACCACGGCTGACAAGGCCACCATAGTATACAGCCACAGGGAGGAGGGAAAGATGCTGGCGAGCACGTGTCGGAGAGGAAAGAAGGCAGGCGAGTGGGGGG